CATTAGCTGATGTCTAGATAAAGAAAATATATACACTATGGAATCACTAATTACTAAGTCATAAAAATTAGTGAAATCTTGTCTTCTGTAATTAAATGGATCTTGTTGGAAACTATTAAGCATAATGAAATAATACAATCCCCAAAAGACAAATACAATGTATTTTCTGTGGTCTGTGATAATACACGGAGTAAAAAAAGAAAAATCTTTATAAGTGAGTTTAAAATCCTGAGAATATAATTACTATTTACAGCCATTCTTTTTTTACTCCTGAGGGACAGTAGGCTTTTTATATCGTTTCCCCCACTTTAACTGGTATGTTTTGATATCTTTACTTACTGGAATGTTGAGGTTGTGATGGTGAAGTGAAATGAAAATATACCATTCTGCTATTCAGGAGAACATGGGGTTGCAGGAGAGTTAAGGAAGGAGGCTACCTACTCCACCCAGGAATTTTTAAGGACCACACAAAAGACCTGTGTGGGCCTCAGTGCCCTGTGCAGTGACCCACTCCAGCGACTCAGGGCACTCGTAAACTGAATCCAGATCCAGAGCTCACCCAAAAGCCCAGCTACACTCCCTGGCCTTTTTGCACAGTCACAGAATCCCCAGAGTCACAGTTCTCAACCCCTAGTCACAGGGAGCTGGAGATCCACTCAGCCCAACGAGGCTGCTCTGCCCATAGAGATGAGGCACTAGCTGAGCCAGCTGCCATGGATGCAGTGGAGGGATGCAGCTCACAGGCTTCATTGTGGACCCTGCCTCCTGCCAACCCTCTAGGTCAGACTCAAAATCCAGGGAGATCATGGGTATATCCTTCCCTTCTTCCCTCCCTCCCTTCTCTCTCTCTCTCTCCCTCTTCCTTCCTTCCTTCCTTCCTTCCTTCCTTCCTTCCTTCCTTCCTTCCTTCCTTCCTTCCTTCCTTCCTTCCATCCTTGCTTCCTTCCATCCTTCCTTCCTTCCTTCCTTCCTTCCTTCCTTCCTTCCTTCCTTCCTTCCTTCCTTCCTTCCTTCCTTTCTTCCTTCCTTCCTTCCTTTGAGTGTCAGTGAAGCAGCAGCTTCATTCCCTACATGGCCACAAAAGGCAGGCTGTGCCAGGTTGAGCCTAGCAGCCAGAAGCTTTCTCTGCATCTCCCAGGTGGGTGCAGGAGCCCAAGCATTGGGGTCGTTGTCTCCTGCTGTTCCAGGCACATTAGCTGGGAACTCAATCAGAAGTGGAGCAATTGGTTCTTAAACCAGTGCCCATATGGGAATCTTGCATCACAAGCAGAGGCTCTACTTGTGTGCTGTGATGCTGGCTCCTGCAGCCTTCCCATGTTGTAGCTTTACAATGGTGGCTTACAGCTGGCAGTGGGTGGCACTGCATGATTGGCTGTCCCAGTGTCTTTGCTTCCTCTTCTTATATCACGGAATCTTTATTGTTTCATTGGCTACTTTGAAAATTTACATCAGTCAATCCTTTGGAAAAGTGGTCGTTCCTTCATTCTTTTCATATGCTACAGCAGTGGAAATGGGTGTGACGAGTGTGGCTACATCCTATTTAGCCATCTAGGATCCCTGAAATGCCTTTTACATTGGAATGGAAAAGTTCTTGAGAACTTGTTTTGAGATAATTCCAAGTTTTGCTTTATTCTTGGATTATTTAAGTTGTTTTAGTAGGGGACTTTATCATATTTGTAAAAACGGAGGGTTTTAAATAAATGCTTAGAAGCTTGAAAGCTCAGTTAAGAGTTGTCCAAATATCTTGTTTGAGTTGAGATTTTGCAAGCCTTAGCAAAGGAGATGCTTGATTTTTCTTCCTAGAGCAAGCAATTGAAATCAGGGTTGGTGTTGGGGCACAATGCATAAAGCTTTCACCTGCAGTACTGGCATCCCACAGGAGCACCGGTTGGAGTCTCGGCAGCTCCACTTCTGATCCAGATCCCTGTTACTGTGCCTGGCAAAGAAATCTGAGGCGAACTAAATGCTGTGGCTCCTGCATCCTTGTGGGAGATGTAGAAGCAGCTCCTTGCTCCTGGCTTCTGTTTGAAGTATCCCTGGCCACTGCAGCCATTGGAAAGAGAACCAGTGAATGGTAGATCTCTCTCTGTGTAACTTTTACATTCAAATAAAGTCTATGATTGGATCATTTTTAGTTTATAATATCAAGACATTATTGGTACATGATCCTGAAATAATGGGTTATCATCCTTTGCTATTTTGCTTCTGATTTTCATTTTTCTAAAGCAGGTAGGAACGTTTCTAAAGCAGGTAGGCGTGGTGTTTAATGTACTTCCGTGTCTTTTGAAGCCACTGCCCCACTTGGTTTCTCCAGAAAAGAGAGCACTTCCACCAAAGGGATGTCTGAGATGTCTGTCAGTGGCCATCGGTTGAGACAAGCACTCACAGACTTCCTTGGAAGTCAGAGAATCTGTGAAAAGTGAACACATCTGGAAGACAATCAATCCCTACAGCTCGTCAGCATCTGGGAATGTAGCTACGGAAGCTGACAAAACCGGTGATTAACCATGATGAAAGTTCGCCACCTATAGACAAATGCAGAGTGGCTGACTGTGAGTTACGAGAACATGCGTGCGCCTAGCTGTGATGAGCCCTTAGAATTCAGCTTGCGTGAGTTTCAGAGTCATCAGAACACTGAGCTGTGTACGCTGAAATTTTTGAAAAATTTCTCCGATTTGTCTTTCATGGAAATGATTAAAAATTGCAGCATAAATTCACACAAAGTGAAACAGAAAGTTTAGCTTCTCTGTGATTCCTCATTCTTTCATGTTTCAACTTGCTGTTTCCATTTTCTGAAATTTTTCCTCATTCTCAAGTTATTTTCTTTTGTCATGGAGTGTCAAATGCCAACTTTGTTACCACATTTTCTGTCTTACCTCAGATACGTTTGATTACTCTTTGGACAGTTTCAGATGCCCTGTAACACTAACTAGTATCAACATAGATGATAATTCACTCTGCTTACATGGCCATTTAATGTGATAGTAAAAGAACTCAAAACAATAAAAGTCACAAACAGCTCCTCCGTCTCCTGTGATTTTTGTATCTCATTGTTTGTCTCATTCTTTCCCTAATTTTTCTGCAGTTTTCATTGGTGTTTTTATACTGAAAAGATCTACTAGCAAATTGACTTCCATTTTCTCTTGTCTTCTCATCCCTAGAGCATGAATGCGTTTGTGCCTAAGTGAGAAAGAAGTGCCACTTTGCTGTTGAAGCATAATTGGCTCAAGTGGAAGAATTGGTTTTGTTGTCTGCAGCTAATGGCAAAAAACAGATTCACAGAAGGTATTTCCAATACTTCTTATTCAGCAGTGTTTATAAAATGCTGTAAATGTTTCAAAATGAAGAGCGTGAAAGCATGAAAAATCTTAACTGTGTTTTTAACAAGCAGGTTTTTAAAGTGCATCATCATGGAGAATTTCTTTCCCATGGAACAAATTCTCACTTTCAACGAAGTAACAGATTAATGATTCTATCATTTATGCCTTTAAAATCAGGTTCCCTCAACCAAAGGTGAACAAATTGAAGAGCCATGATAAATGCTATTTTTAACTTTTGTACCAAAAAAAAACATATATGTTTATTCCATTTTCACCAACTTCTGTATTATCCTGTTATATATATCATGAAATGTTTGGGCTATTTTGACAGAGAAATCAGAATGTAGTCCTGTATAATGTAAATGTAAAATGAGGTTGGAAGAACACTTTATCAATCAAATATAAAGCACTTGTTGGCCAATTTCACTATTTGTATGTCTAGCCACAATGAAGAAAGATATTCATGTCAACACTCTTTCTTATTGCCATTTTCAAGGCAGGACAATCCGCGATCAATTATGTGGTGTAATGTTTTCTAATTGATGAGCTGTATGTGTATGTAAGTCTATCATAATAGATTAGCTCCTAACAAGATAAACCATCATGTAGGACTCTGCCTGCCAAGTGCACGCGTCTGCCAAACCGTTTGATCAATGTTAGAGAATTTTCAGACATTTGTACTCAGAAATGTGACTGTGGAAAAACAGCAGCTCCAGACGCAGCTAACTTGCCCTCTCGCTCCGTTGTTTAGAGTCACATCTGCTGATTTTATGGCTCGACACATTTTTTTTTAAAATCTTGTTAACTCTGTTGAGCCTGCTACATCCCAGCTGGCCTCCTAACCTTGTACACTAAATCAAGGAATTTTTCTAATCAGGGTTTCTGTTACCAGGAAGCAAGAAATAAGCAGAGAGAGTGAGAGCAAGAGAGAAGTGGGAAGGTTGCCTTGAACCCTGGTAGACTTAGGAGATAGCGGCACTAAATTTGAGCCCTTGTACCTTGAATTGAACAAACTGTTATTCATAGACATGTTATAAAAAGGTCAATATTGAGTTAAATGTGTTTTGGGCCATTTGCTAATTATCTTAAGTGTTTTTTTTTTTCCTACAAAGTAAGAAATATAAATTGTGAAGTTTTGGAGGATCCATTTCAGCTTTATATTTCAAAAATCTCAGCTGACATTATTTGGAAATTATTTTTGACTCTAAGCTTGGCACAGCATTTAATTTACTGAGATTCAGTGTTCTGGGTATCTGTCACCAACCACCCCCAACATTTTGTGTAATAGCATATATTTTGCTGACAAGTGTGCAATTTAGGTAGAAATCTGTTGAGAGTCATCCTAACTCCAGTTGATGCTAGCTAGGGTTAAGGGTCTGGAATCTTCTCAAGGCTTGTCACTCGTGTGTTTGGTGGCTTCCAATCACCACTCATTGGAACTTTGGGCTGAGCTTGTTGGCTGGAATATCTAAGTGTGCCATTTCCATGTGGCCTGAGCTTTGCATAGAGAGAACTAGAGAAAGTTCTGTTGCTTTCTGAGATCTCATCTTAGAAGCCATGCAGAGTCATTTTCATCATGCATTGTCTGTCCTTGAAGTCACACAGGTCTGCTCAGGTCAGCAGTGCAGGAAACAGTATACCTGTTGAGGGGGGATAGCCAAGGGCTGAAAGAGCAAGTGGCCATTTAGTACTTGTATTTAAATATAGCAAATACCATGGTGTGAGCTCAGATTTTTCATCATTGATTTTAAAAAATGATAAAAATGGATTGATTCTATTTCTCAAAGTCTTTGCTTAGTGTCATGTTTACTTCTCATATATTCTTTATCTTTACCTGTGAAGAAATAGAAGTGGACAAGTTAACTAAGTTGCATTAACTCTCATGTGAAATTTCATTTTTTGGTAACAATGACTTGGTTGTTATCAGAATACTTTCAATAGAGATGACAAAATTTTTGTCCTGTTACTTACATAAAAATATTCTTCCAATACCATTGGTCTCCCAGGACAGTTGGTGGATCTTAACTTTGGGATTTACTTTTTTCTTTAGCATGGGCTTACAGCAATCATGCTCACCATCTGGAGAAACATTGGGCCTCATGGTTGGAAAATAAATTAGCATTTCTGTTTAAAATAAGAGGCTAACCTTGCCCTGGACACAGCAACTTTGTCTTTGGTTGACAATCTTCTTGATTATAAAAAATAAGTTAAAATGCAAGCTTTTTTCAGTATTGGTGCCCATCTCTCAGAACACTCTGAGGCTAGCCATTGTTTGCTCATCTTTGCCCTAGGACATGGAGCAAAAGATGACACTAATTGGAAGCTGGCATTCCTAGAAAACATTGTTGAAACAATTTCCTACAGCCAGATAACCTCTATCTGTGCCAGTACTAAACTGTGGGCTCCATGGACCTGCCCATGTCTGCACACACCTGTTCCAACTTGGATGCCAAGAAATCATGGGTCAGGAGGAAATTAGACACACAGAGCCTTAGGGAAGTCACTAGCAGTTACAGAACCCTTTGGAATCGTACTAGATTAGACAAGGAGGGGATGCTCTGCTATGAGATGCATTTGGCCCTGGTCATTAGCAATGAGAATTCCACATCAGTTATCTGAGCAAACTGAGCAATTAAAACAAGATTCTTAGAGCTGGAAACCGACAGCATGAGAAAGAGTAAACTAATGAGTAAAGCTCTCTCACACACACACACACACACACACACACACACACACACACACCCCAACCCTTTCTTTCTAAATTAGATGTGATGTGTGAGAATGGAGGTAGAAAAGTACTTGTATGTTTGAATTAGTGTAAATATATAGATTTGTATGCACTACTATCCTCTACTATCTTATGAATTTGGGCAGATTATAAGTCAAATCATATCCCTAGGAACATAAATTATGCATACATATAAAACTGAAGAATCACAATTAGCATAAAAGTGGGTGTTCAGTCTAGCTGTAGAACACCAGTAAAATAAAATGATTACACTTCGTGATCACACTTTTCTTATTTTAGCTCCTTATCTTCCTATCATAAAAGCCTCTGAAACTTTAAATTTGATCGCCATGCATAAAATGCAAATGACAGGAATGCATATAGATGACTCAGTGTAGAAATTAGCTGCTACTCTCCCACTGTCGAGTGCAAATTCTCTTGCTTGCAATCCAGTTGGCTTCATTACAAATGTGGATCAGGCACCCATTTGGTGTAAGATGCTATGTACTAAGCACTAGAAGTACAAAATATTTAGGTTTCTGTTAGCTCTCACGTGTGGGGCTAAGAATACGTCTGGTAAGAACATGGAGAACTCCCCTGCTGGGTTGCAGCTCCCTCTGGTGAGTTCAAGAGCTGGAGCTGAGGGTGGACTGGGTTGGGCAAAGCTGTAACACTTGTCAGCATATGTGTGAGCTGAGTTTGTGGACGAGCAAAACTGAGCTAGGCCTTAGTACCTGCTAGCACTTTCGAGAGCCAGAATGGGTATGGACAGGTTGGGCTGGGCTGCAGTACCCACTGGTGAGTACCAGGACCGGGACCAGATCATGTCAGACTGGGCTGCAGTAAACATTCATGAACATATACAAGGACTGGGACTGGGAGCAGGTTTGGAAGGAGAATAGTGGGCTCTCTCCTGTTGGGCTGCAGCTCCTCCTGGTGATCATGAGAGTCCAGGTGGGGGTGGGCCAGACTGTCAAGGCAGTGATACCTGTTGGCATACATCTGTGTCAGGTATGGAGGTGAGTCAGGCTGAGCTAAGCCACAACACCCATGGGTGTGCAGGAGAACCAGCTGGAATGCAGGATGGACCATGCTAGGCTGCAGCACATGCTGCCCTATGTCAAAACTGGGCTTGAGGACGGGCTTGGTGTGGGTTATTAGGGTCACTAGGCCATAGGCCATGACATATGCTGGTGTGTTGGAAGCCTGTGCAGGCAATGCTAGGCTAGGCTGCAGCATCCATCAGTTCACATGAGAGATGCGGCTGAGAGCAGAACCATCTGGCAGTTGCATCCATTGGCTGGTGCAGGTGACAGATCAAACCTGACACTGCTCTGGCTCCTGCACACAAGATTCAAGTTTGAGTTCATCCCAAGTGAGCTTTCTTGGGGACTCCCTAAATAGATGGATGTACTCAAACTCTGGCCACAGGGGAAAAATCACAATATATATATGCTGTGGTATTGGAGTGCATGTATCCAGGATGGGTCTTCGCAGCTGCTAATGTCTGTGCAGGAGACAACAGACCCAGATGTACGATGGGGAAATGGCATCCAGCTCATCTAGGACAACAGGGGATGTCAAGTGCTTATCAGAGGATGGAAATCAAAAACAGTTGGACAGTTCTCCTGTCCTGAAGTGGTCCTGGTGAGCCAATAGACCCTGGAAAGATATTTCTTTACACTGCTGCAATGTAGCTGATGGCATGTAAGGGCTATGAAAATTATTCAAGTAACACCCTCAGAACACTTTTCCCTGCATCAGGCTGTCTAAGGCATCATCAAATGAGTGTCCTCTATCCCTGGGTGCCAGTGTAGCTTGGCAGCAAGGAGTGTTCCCCTCCCCTTTTCCCACTGTAGACACAGGAGAAAAAAAATTGAAACATTTGTGCCTTTTACTTTCCTCTGTACCTCAACCCTCCTCACCCTATTAGAGACTCATATGGGCATGTTTAGTATGTAAACTATTAAAAATGAAATAAAAAGCACACGAAAAACTGAGGCAGAACATAGAGTTTAAGTATGAACTGTGAGACGTTTGTCTCTATCTTGCTTAATTCAACTTTAAACATTTTAGAAGAAGGGATAACATATTACTGAAACATTATGTATTATATGGTACAGGGTCTTTGTTGAAGCATATCTTGACAGCATACAGAGCGAATGAGTAGGGAAGACTTTACCTTGATTTGTAGGCAGACACCTACAGTGATAGTTTTGGTATAATAAAATAAGCACATTATTATTGTAGGCAAAAGACTCTAGGAAAATGAAGGGGAAGGACATACAGCTCAGGCACCAAGTACCTGACTGCCTAGCGAGTGCTTTTGCATTATACATTTCCACCAAGTTTGAGTCTGGGTAAAATAATCCTAGTCCTACTCCTTGAATTAAGGATATATATTTTTTGTTATATTTTTTGAAATACTTAATCTGTGGGAGATGGAGTTTGGAACTACTGGTCATGTTTTTGTAGTGAAAACAGTATCATTGGGACAAGTGCAATGGCTCAGTGGCTAAATCCTCACTGTCCAAGTTTCAGGATTGCGTATGGGTGTCTGTTCATGTCCCAGATGCTCCACTTCCCATCCAGCTCCCCGCTTGTGGCCTGGGAAAGCAGTCGATGATGCCCTAAAGACTTGGGACCCTGCACATATGCGGGAGACCCAGAGGAAGCTCCTGGCTTTGGATTGGCCCAACTTCGGTTGTTGCAACCACTTAGGATGTGAACCAGCAGATGGTGTATCTTTCACTCTGTTCTCCTCCCCATAAATCTGATATGCCTTTAAAAGCAAGCAAACGAGCAAAAATCCAGTATCACTGTTAGATTATAGTTAAGAAATGGCAATAGGTTCAGGTCAAAGGCTTTTTATTCTCCTTTTTGTTTAGGAGTTGGTCATGCACAAATGGCCTTTGAAAATGGATTAATAACAACTTCAAATTTTGAACAATGAACCAAAAATCACTCTTAGTTTTAAAAATTGCTGAATTGAATAGATTTCTCTGAAAATAATAAAAATGTCTGCTTATTAAAATTAGTTATAGAGATGGGGTGATGGGAGAGACAGAGAAATAGAGCAAGAACAAGAGAGTATTTCCATCTGCTGGCTAGCTCTCTGAATGCCTACAACTGTGAGGGCAAGGCTGGGTCACAGCAAGGGACTTGCAGTTGCATCCAGGCCTTCCATCTTGGTGGCAAGGACCCAATAACTCAATATCTTGAGTCACTGTTGTTGCCTCACAGGGTCTTTATTGGCAAGAGGCTGGAATCAGGAACTGGAACTGGGATGAAGTGACTCTTCTAATGTGAGAAGTGGCTTTCTTAACAGGTAGCTTAAATACTACCTGATCTTTTATTTAATAAATTCAGATAGGACCAGTGTGGAGGCATAGTGGATAAAAACTGCATCCTGTGATACGAGCACCCCACATGGGTGCCAGTTCCTGTCCCAGATGCTCCATTTCCATTTTGGCTCCCTGCAAGTGGCCAAGTGAAAGTAGTAAAAGATGATGGCCCAGTTCCAACATGGCAGACTTGGATGAATCTCCTAGCTCCTGGCTTCAGTTGGCTCACCACTGGTCACTGGAGCTATTTGGGGGAATTAACCAGTGGGTGGAAGATCTCTCTTCCTATCTATAACTCTTATTTCAAAATAAATACATGGATAAACAAATACAATCATTATAAAATACAGCTAATCATAATTTGAATAGGAAAAATACTTTTGTAGGTCATGTGTTCACAACTAGATTTAATCTCCACAGACTTGTAATTTGAATTCAAGTTCTAAGATTTCTATCTTTACATCTGGTTACTGACCCTCACTGATGCCGATGTGAAAATGAGAACTGCTGTCCTTGGTGCTGATCATTTTGCTGAGACGCTGTGGAATGAATGGTGGGATAGGGTAGAGAAATGATGTCACACAAAGAAATGTGTGTGTGCGTGTGTGTGTGTGTGTGTGGGGGGGTTGAGAATTATTCCAGACGCAGAAACAATTCTAATCTCTCAGTTAACCATAAGGCAACACTTGTACTGTGCTAAGCCCTTGTAGGTACCTTAGAAGAATCTTCCTTTATCAATCAAACATACCTTCTTTATAGTAAAAGTTTTGGATAAAGTTTCAAAATTGTTTTGCCCCTGGTTTTACATTTTGCACATTGATTTCTCAGTTCACCACCACAGCTTTTATTTTTGTATAAAGTCAAAGAAGTGGTTCTTTGTATTTCCAGAAGTTTTAAATAGCTGTGTTATACTATTGCTTTGTGTTTCAATTAACCTATTTATGTTCTTGGGAGATTTTCTGCCTCTTCTGTTTTCCTCTTTCTTGAGCTGTCTGTTTCTCTTGTTATTCATACCAACCAAAGTTGTAACCAAAGATGTTAGCTGTTAGCAGGCGTAGAGGAATACTAAAAGTTTTTGGTCTTCAAGTTACCTTTCTGTTTTCTTTCTTTTCATTTAAATGTATTTGTTTTACTATTTGAATGGAAGTATTGCAGAGTCAGAGATCTGCCATCTGCTGGTTTTCTCAGATGGTCACAGTGACCAAGGCTGGACCTGCCTGAAGCAGGAGCTAAGAGCAAGGAATTCTGTTGTTGTCTCCTTTATGTGTTGCAGGGGACCCAAGCACTTGGGCCATCTTCTACTGCCTTCCCAAGTGTAATAGCAGCTTAATGAACTAAAGATGAACATCCAGGACTCAAATTCACACGGGGTGCCAACATCGCAGGCAATGGCTTAACTCACTGTACCCTTATGCTAGCCCCTTCATTTTCCTAATAAGAAAAGAAAATATAATTTTTGCTTTATGTATTTGTTTTCTTAAGAGTTCCATATTGTTAGATCAGGCACTGTCTGTCTCTCTGGCTGGTTTACTTACTTCCCCTTTAGCCATCTTTATGCAATCCAGATTTTTTTTCTTTTGGATTTCAACTATCTTGAAAAGATTATTATTTTTTTCCCTTTCCCTTTCTCTCTCCATTCCTCCTGCCTCCCTGGGGAAAAAAAGAAGCTAATTCAGATTGTTCTCTGTAAAGCTGAAAGGGCAGTGTTCTTATTACGAAGAGAGGAAATGCTAAAAGCTTTGATGTAGAATTAGGGAGAATAATGAATCAGTGCCTTGCATCTTTAAACTCACTGAAAATGCACAATCAATGCCTCAGGGTTTTCAAGTCAATATTTACGTCCTTGTTTTCCTCTAATTCTACTTTCACTCAAGAACAAAATATTGTTTTATGTTTCTACTATAATGGTTTCTACAAATTTTCCAAAGTAATTATATAATAGTTCAATTTCATCTGAGATTTTAAAAAAAGTTTTGTTTAAATAAACTAAAATTACAGATGATGTTTAATGTTATGTTTTAGAGGTCAAAGCAACCAGCATATAACTTCTGTATAATTCCCATTTCTATCATGGGGATATTGTGTATTAATTGCTGAGGAGTTCATGCCACCTATTTTCAAAATTGAATGCTTCCACTTCATCAAACAAATAATCATCTTGGTAGATTTTTCTTTACTTACATTATAGTAATTCATATTTATTGATTTATTTACTAACATGGTAGCCATCTTTAATGATTATTCACAGAGTGCTTAGTAGAGACCATGCATGGTGCAAAATCCTGGGGCATAGATACTGAAGAAACATTACATTTTTCAAGTGCTCACATGCTAGTGTAGAATGTTAGATAGGCAGACAGACTTATAAGACAACGTTAATGGAATTATGGCACAGGAAAGGGAAGCCACTTTCCATTTGGGTACAGAGGTGGAAGCTCTACTCTAACAAATATCTTATTTGTGATGGTGTGCAATGGAAGGCAATGGGAAGAAGACAATGGGAGAAAGTCAATATTAATAATAAAATCTTGGTGAATTAACCTCATTGGACTTTAGCTGGGAAACAATTATCTGTTCTGGTTGTGACATGTCTGGTGGAGTAGTATGGGTTTTGGAATAAGACACCTCGGGACAAATTCTGACCCAGACATTCAGCAAGCAGTGTTCCCTCTGAGATTCAGTTTCTCATATCATATCAGGGAGAGATGATACCCAATTCATACAACAGGGCTTGAATAAAGTAATGGTGTCTGTTGTTTTCTTTAAGCTTCTGCTCATGGAAGTTAGAGGTAATGAGAGTAGTGGGCATATTGAATTCTGGCTCACACTTAGTAAATACAAACCCTAGTTTAAACTGGTTATATAGATAATCACCACAACTCTCATAGGTATGTGAATTTTCTATTATTTGTGATTTTATAATATGCTAATATGAAAATAATGGAAGGTAAATGATTTTCCCAATGGCTAGAGAAGGGGAAAGGAAGAGTTTTAACTTGGATCTATGTGATTAAAGACTGGGTACTTACCCTCTCTTGTTCTCTGGATCCCTGCTGTGTTTTATTTTAATTGTTGAATTAGATGAATTCTTGTCTGAAGAATTTTGATCCTGAGAGAGAATACCAAGTTGAACATTAGCATATATGATTTTTGGGGACCCAAACCATATGTGTTTTGTTAAGTCAAATCCTCAGAGTTGGGGTTAACATTGTAGAAGAGCTGGGAAAAATCATCATTTGTAATGTTGGCCTATCAGAGTGCCAGTCTCAGTCCTGACTGTTCAGCCTCTGATCCAGCATTCCCAGTAACGTACCTGGAAAGATAATCAAAGATGTTTCAAGTACTTGGTTCCCTGTCACTCACGTGGAAGAGTTTGAGGGTCCTGGATTCAGCCTGGCCCAGAACTGGCTATTGCTGTTACCTGGGGAATGAACCAGAGGATGGAATAGGTCTCTCTCACTCTTTTTCTCTTTATGGCATGGCCTTTCAAATACACAAATGAATAAATCTTTTAAAGAACTAAGTTTATTAGTATGCTGTGCAGAACCCAGGATGTGGAAATGCCAATATGTGTCAATGTGAGGATTAGGCTGATGTCACAGAGACTGCACAACACAGACGTTGGCTTTCCTCTCACCTAACAATCTGTGGCAAGACTTTGTGCCTTTTCCAGGAAGCAAACCAGAAAGAGCAAAATTCCAAGTCAAAAATTTTAATTAAAACAGGAGATGAAGTAGGCAGCACTGAAATTTATAGCAGTTTATCATGTTCCCCTATGAAATCACTTGGAAAAAGTTCTGGCTGGACAGCTACTTGCCGAGGAAGGAGGGAAAAGATGTGGGGTTAGTAGCAATAATTTCTTCTATTATAGTGCTCAAGGAATATTTATTTAATGAACTGACGAAGAAAAAGCCATTAAGTCAGCTTGGTGCTCAGTGAAAACACAAAAATTGTTCTATCAGCTAGCTTAGAAGTCCATGTCAGCATGCCAATGTGTCTTTCCAGCTAACTCTTGCCAAAACACATCTTTGGTCAGAGCTACCAATTGTAAGTAACTGTTGGCTTTAGTGCTTTCCTTTAATCTATGGCTGTCAGCTTTCCTCCTGAATGTCAGAATGGGATCGAAGCCACACAAGTGTTTATGTGAGCTTTGTGGATTATGTTGCCCTCTTAAGGAAGATAAGGTGACAAGTGATACTGTGCTTATATATACCACCTGTCAGAGACTCTTCATCATGGGGCAGCGAGTCTGTCACGAGTTTGAGCTGGATACTTGTGATTCTCTTTCAGAACTGCCTTGTCTTCATGGTGGAGTGTGTCTGACACTGACAAAACGTAGATTTAGTTCTCAAAAAAGAAAGCGTTCGTTGTTTTTATAACATCTAGACTTCAGACTCCCAATATTCTAGCTGGGAAATTCAAGCAAGACTTTTTTTTCTGCAATGGAACATACTGTTTCATTGGAGGTTTCTTTTCCTCTCTCACAGCCGTAGTAGGAACACGTATCACGTTATGTCCAACTGGTGGCAGGTGATTTGCCAAACACAGAGTGTGACTACTCTTGTTTGTTGTCTTAAAATGTGAAACTCCTTCAACTTCTCCAAGTCACATTGAGAATTACAGTAGATATCGTGAATGCAGAAGAGGCAGAACTACAAGTCAGTGGGAGTACTCAGTGGAGCTCTATTCAAAACTTACCAAGGTAGAATCTTTTTCTCTCAATTATAAGGCTGAAAAGAAAAGAACAACTCTCCAAACCTTATATCTCTTTAAGCCTTTTTATTCCTCAGAGCTTACAAGAGACTCCACAGACTTGCATGTCATTTATTTTTGTAACATCCCTGTGGAGTAGAGGCTAATTTTCCTTTCACTGTCCATGCTGCTCAGAGGAAATGTGACACCCTGAGTGCTCAGGCGACCTGTATTCAAGGTCAAAGTGAGAGCAAAGTTGTAAAGTTGATGCCTGCCTGAAATCTGGCGTGAAGATTTCTCACCCAGCAGTTACTTATAGCTGATACTGGGGCAAGAATTAGCTAGGAGAACTCAAAATATATGGTGAAGGCCAACAGTGTTATGACAGGTCAAGATTCAGATTTGTAAATATTCCTTAGTTCAGATTGTAAAAAAATCGTCTTGATGACTCAGCAATATTTAATGCTGGGAACTGTTCTTGCTCCTTGAAGCAGCAGGCTGAGGGATCATTATCCTGTATTTAATTTGGAATGATGCCCTGGAATCAGGGTTCCTAAGTAGCACTAATGATCGCACATATTTCAGGAAGAGCAGGGGGAGGAGGCCTTGAAGATACCAGATAATGGTACTCTTTAAATTATTGTGAAATAGAGTGATAAGATGAATTGAGTCTATTCATGTGGCATTGGGTAAAGGTCTTCTTAGACCCCTGTAAAATCTTTGTGCAAGTTACAAAAAAAATGCTTTTCATCTATGTAGACACAACCCTAAGCCAGGGTGTACAAACCAGTTGGTGAATCCAGGACTGGGGAGTCCAGCCTGATCTATCCGTCCCTCAGACAGGTGCTATTTATGGCCATCTTGGGGTACAGAAACACTCTTTTAAGTCACCCCATCTGCTTTCCCACATCCAGATTCTGTTGTATTCTGTCTATCCACCAAGTAGAAATCATTCCTTTCTTAAAGAACCCTTCAAAAATATTTTTGCAACCTCATCATATTGTTTCTCATAATATTTTTGAAGTCCTTGAGGTTGGATCAGGTCCGTGTTTATATGAAGGAAACCATCAGGATGTCAGAAGTGTACTGAGAGAAAGCTGACTTTTTTACATACAATTCATTAGTAAGTCATTAGGTAGAATGTAACACTCAGTAGAGAAGGGCTGGAGATCATGAGAAAAGCAGAGTTAGTGGCACGTTCATCTTACGGAGTCATCCTTGTCAGTGGAAGGATCATTTGTCCTTCTAGCACGAATTCCCAAGAAGAATGTCCCCCCACAAATGACCAACTTTCAGTTGGGACCCGAATAAATATGATAAATCATAAAATGGAAGGGAGAAAGGGAGGATTAAAAATTTTTAAAATACCTTAAAAATAGAACTCTAGCTCCTCTCTTTCACCCCTCTCGCCTCACGCTAAAATGCTGCATGGTGGGTGGTGACTTCTTGTCTGAAAAAACAGCAACTATTAGGGCTACATAATTTATGTGCTTGAACTACCTTTGATGAGCTTCAAAAGACACCCATTCATAGATGTGCTGGGACTTGAACATGTAGCCTGGAAAACCCGAGACAGCCCAACAAAAAGAAGCTCTAAGTTTTCCATGGAACAACAGTGTAGGAACCTGCAGGCCATGATGAGCTCGAGCCTCCAAGATGCAAGTAGTTGCTGAAGAGAAAACTCATTCTTATCTAAGTAACTCTCCTTGGGCTCTGTTGTTTTGCAAACTTATAAAAACATCATCATGTTTGATGATGACTATGCTTTAAATCACACTATAAGAAATGGAAGCGTGGGCCTGGAGTGGTAGCCTAGTGGCTAAATTCTCACCTTGCTATGCACTGGGATACCCTCGCCAATTCATGTCCTGGCTGTTCCACTTTGCGTCCAACTCCCTGTTGTGGCTTGGAAAAGCAATGCAGGATGGCCAAAGCCTTGGGATCCTGTGAGACAGCAAATTTTTTTTTAAGCCACCTTCTCTGGGATATTTTGTCCTAATAGACTACATTTGGCTAGCACAAGGGAACTTTCTAGTGAGTAGCATAGTATTATTTTGGTTAACATTACATGTTGGAGATCCTGACTGTCTTTGAATCAAGCCCTACCACTTACCACTGTCTGTTGGAAGGTAAAGAATGAAGTAGATATTTATTTACAAATATTCACTTCTTTGAAGCATAACCGGAAGTCAACATCTTCACGGGCAAAATGGCAATACTTTCGAACTTAATAACTTTCTTTTTTTTAAAATTTCATTGTATTTATTTATTTTTTTTATTACATTGCTGGAAGGTACTAAGTCTACTAAAGCTATGGCTTAATTGATTCTCCAGTTCCTTCCATTGTCGTAACTAAAGGCTATTCTGAGAAGCAGCTCTGATGTCCCCATGGTAACAGGGCTTCAGGAAAGGCATGACACAGAGCAGTCCTTGTCTGAGGACACCTGGGATTTTCAGGTATCCCTGGAAAGACTGCTGGAGGCAAATTATGCACACATTTCTGTGTAATCATGTGCACATGTATAGATATGCCAAACCGCACATTTGATACCATTTATCATCAGGCTTTCTAATGACTCCCATCTCGTGCATAATATAGCTAGAGATGCTTAAATAAGAACATATTAAAATTTTGAAGCAAATATCTACCGCTACTATGGAGTTAGAGAAAAATCAAATCTTTGCTTATGCAGTCGTAACTTTAAACAGAAGGAAGGGAAGATTTATTCTTTCTTGACACATCTTCTGAAATGGATTAAATACATTGTCTTGGCAAAATTATCCAGCAGAGCGCACCTGGCTGGCCATTTGCAGTTGAGTCAGTGCTAGCAGCGTGCCTGAAGGGGAATAGTTCTGAATGAAGGATTGTGCAGACATTCCAGCCAAGGTCAGTGAGTGACTTTTAAGACTTTTTTTTTCTTGTTAAAAATGTAGTCAAAAATATAAAAACTTTTATTTTTTTCCGTTTTTTTCTTTATTTTTGACAATCTTTACATAATTAATTATGGCACAAAGGTTCAAAGGCTACAGGAAAGTGGGTAAGACTATTATTTCCATATTGTTTTTTTCTCCTGCATCTGGGGAATAGGGGGAGATAAACGGAGAAGCCCCACCCAGTCTCCCACCCATCCCAGGTCCCTGATGTAGGAGTGGCTGTCCAGCACGGGACCCCCCCACATTCCCCATACCGGCTCCGCCCCCTCCCTTCCTGGTTCTCACGTGTGCTCTTTGGGTGCTGCGGCCACATCTGGTAAGGCTCATCTCACCTTGGCATTCTATAATGTGCACTGGTTTTTGTTGCCACCGAACCTGGCCCGACCCACACTCTGTTCCGGTCTGGTTCAGCCTGGTCTGCCCTCAACGCGTGCCAAATGTATGCCAGTGGGGATCTTTCCATGGCCTGTTCCTTATGGTGCTTCTTGCGATTACCTGCAGGGACTGTGTCCTGCCAGAGGAGTTGCCCAGGCACATGTTTTATTTTTAAATTGTTATTTAAAAACATTTTTAGAGGTGTCTCTATAGCTTCCCATTGGCCCCTTTTCGCCTCCTTCTTTGCTGTGCACGAAGAAGGCCCAGGAATGGATTTTCTGATAAAGCTTCAGTTACAACTTTGAAAAAAAAAAAAGCTTCCGATTATCTGAAAGAGGAAATGGATTTTTAAATAGGAACGACTACAAAAAGGCCGACTGATTTGAGAGTGGTCTTGATTCTTCACCACTAGCATAGTTTCTTTGCTTAGTTATCAGTTCTTTCCTATCAGAAACAATTGTTTAAATGCTTCCATTTTCAGGTTATGCAACAGAGGCAGGAAAGGCACAATACAGACTGGATTGGCTCTGAAAACACAAGAAAAGGTGAAAAACTAGCTACGAAGTTGCTTAGCTCATACATATGAAGTTGGTTAGCTCATAAATAATACAAGATGGACAGGATTTGTGAGAAGGAACTGCTAAGGATTTGCATAGATTGAGTTGCAGGAACAAGTGTGTCTAAGTGTTTACAACGAGTGGAGCGATGCTTAGAGCCAGAATGTTGGCCAAGGTGACTTTTCTCTACATTATACTCTAAACAGGGAAGTTCTTGTCTATACTCCCACCACCAACCTCCTCGGAACTATTAAAGATGAAAACAGTTTTGGCTTTGTTTGTGACATTGAGCTGAACTGAATCCTTTTAAATGAAAATGTAATGTTCTTTTTCTAAATAACATCTGTGTTGGGTCCTTTCATTTACATTTGTATTTTGCTTAGGTGAGAAAGTTTGTTACATTTTCTACATTTCAGAGGATTCCAGAGCAGTGATCTCCATCAGGATTTTTCATATGGGTTAGACAAACCAAATCTCTGAGGGTCAAAAATTACTTCTTCATGTCTTTTACATGCCATGCAATTGTAATTATTTTATTTTTCTTTCTGATGGAAAAAATGTTTAAGTAGGAAGCTAAAGCCATTAGGAAACTTAGAAAACATGTTCAATACCTTCATTTTCCTTTTTTAAAAATATTTTAATTTTGATTGGAAAGACAAATTTACAGAGAGAAGGAGAGGCAGAGAGAAAGAGCTTCCACCTGCTGGCTTACTCTCCGAATGGCCACAATGGCTCTAAAGCCAGGAGCCAGGAGCCAGGAGCCAGGAGCCAGGAGCCAGGAGCCAGGAGTTTCTGCTCAGGTTCCCATGTTAGTGCAGAGTCTCAAGGTATTGGGCAATCCTCTGCTGCTTCCCTGATCATAAACAGGAAGCTGGAAGGGAAGTGGAGCATCCAGGATACGAGCCAGAGCCCAAACAGGATGCCGGCGCTTGGAGGTAGAGGGTCAGCTAGTTGAACCAATGTGCCAGCCCAATGTCTTCATCTTCTACAGTGGAGAAACAACGAAGAACTAAGCCCTGCCACTAGCTTCCGGCAGATCCTGAGCAGGAAACCAGACATCCCAGGTGATAGCTGGCTGTTACCATGCGGGCATAAGTGTAGATATACATCTACAACATATGTGCTTCTATGAAAACATAGATACGTCCTCACAAATTGGCACAACACTACACGTACCTACATGTGCAAGGATGCTTAAAAATTGATGGAAAAACTCAAAAGATAAGTTTAATTGCATACAAAAATGAAGTCTTCATTTTTGTAGGGGGCAGGATTGAGAGAGGCAAGTGAGTGAAGTTGGACTGACACCATGGTCTCCCTCCGGGGCTGCACCATATGCTTGGTCAGGGATGCTCCTGAGTTTGGGGGATGGTCTAAGCACCGCGTGTTGTCTGTTTGCACCAGATGGTCACCACATCTTCAAGCAGATCATTTAGTATACATGATTCCACCATTTATATCCACCTGGGGTTTTGGGGGACAGGCACAACTACCTCAAAAAGGAGTGTTTTTTGGATTTTCTAGAGGACAGTTTTTAAACTTCCCTGGTGACATGACTGATCTGAGTGTCATGCACTATTTTACTGTGATATTTTGTAATCGATGAATATGTTCAGAATCCTTCCTTGCCGCTGCATGTGTGCATATGTGTTAGCATGTGTGAGAGTGTCTGATTTAATTTCTGGGATGGAAAAACATCTCGGCCAACCAATCGGTGATCTTTCAGGGATACATGAGAAAGTGGCTTAGCTCTCCTCATTCTCTCTATCCAGGTATGTGGATCTTCAGCCTTGTGTCAACATTAGACAGGAGATTAACAAAAAATTCAGTCTCTCCTTAGCAGAACTCCTAGCACAAGAGCGAGGAGATGGAGATGCTAACAAGTCATGTCAATACAAAGTTAGCAGTGATACAGTGGAGCTGGCAGTGGAGTGTGACGGCAGTACGCAGGAGGGGCGCCTTGTGTTGGGTTATTAGCTGAGGTTTCAGGAAGGACGTGCTATGTGCACACTGTGAAGCCTCCAAACCTGATTTGCACATTATTTCTCTAACCTTGAGAGGAAATTTGATTACTTAAGGGCTTAGTAATGAGTCTTTCCCTTTAACTGTGTTTTCTGCCTGGCAAATCATTACAATCAGCTGAAATGTATCACGGTAGATTGTGTGGGGTTACAAACAAAAGCCACTCTTTGTGGCCTTGGGTTGGCTGCTGGAAGCCGGGAGAACCCTCCCCTGGATAGTGTTTGCAGTGGAGGCTTTTGCCAGCAGCAGAACTTTTTTTGAATCTTTGTTTACTTGAAAGGCAAATGAGAGAGAGAGAGAGAGAGAGAGAGAGAGAGAGAGAGAGAGAGAAATCTTCTGTCTACTGGTTCACTTCTGAAATGGCTGTGATGGCTGGAGCTGAGCTGTCCCAAAGCCAGGAGCTTTCTCTGGCTCTCCCATGTGAGTGTAGGGACCAAAGGACTCAGGCCATCCTCTATTGCTTTCCCAGGTCATAAGCAGAGAACTGGGTCAGAAGTAGAACAGCCAGGGCACAAACCGGTATCCATATGAGATGCTAGCACCACAGTAGGAGGATCGATGTACTATGCCACTACTCAGGACACTTACTACCCACCCCCTGCACCTTTCCAGCAGCATTAAAACAAAGATTTATTTTATTATTTTTGTTGGAAAGTCAGATATAACAGAGAAGAGGAGATACAGAAAGGAAGAGCTTCTGTCCTTTGATTCACTCCCCAAGCAGCTGCAATAGGCAGAGCTGTGCCAATTCGAAGCCAGGAGCCTTTTCCGGATCTCCCATGTGGGTGCAGGTTCCAAGACTTTGGGCCATCCAGCTCCCTGCTTTCTCAGGACACAAGCAGGGAGCTGGATGGGAAGCAGGGCTGCTGGAATTAGAACTGATACCCCTATGGGATCCCTGCACTTGAAAGGTGAGGGCTTTTAGCTGCCAGGCTACTGCAGTAGGCCCTCCACAGCACTTTGAATGGAAACAGTTAAACAAAGCAAGCAGGCTAGCAAGCAACCTCACAGATGCTAGTATTCGAGACTTCCTTGCTTCTAGAGGACTTGGCAGGGTGTCATCTGCCTGGCACACAAGAAAAATCAAATTGCTCGTATGAGGTCCTGGTTACAGTGAAGAAAAGGTGGGGGTGGGAGAGGGAGGCAGGAGGAATTCAATCTTTGCTTTTGAAAAATCTAATTCTCCCAAGGTGTATTGAAGTCTGCAAAGCAGTTATCATTTTGAGCAGCTAGATGCAACCTGGAAATGTGGCTCCTAATAGCCTTGGTGAGATGCAGTGAGGTTTTGAGATTGTGGTCATCACACTCAGGTCACAAAGGGGCTGCCGTTC